CGATCATTTTGAGGACAAAAAATTTTTAAAAAATGATTGAAAATATGAAATTAGTGACGGAAAAACACAAAAATTGAGGTTTTATTGATCATATTATAATGTTATGCTAATTTAAATAAAACTAATTGCGGGGTTAAATGAAGTTGGATATTTCAAAATAAAAGAGTGCTCTTTTTTCTGAGTGATCATCCTCTTTGAGCATTTAAACTCTTCATGCAGACGCACAAATTTGAAAAACAAATTTATATTATACGCATCAACTAAAAAATATGTACTCAAGAAAATGAAAGGAAAAATGTTATTTTTTTTAAATATAAAAATTGAATTAAATGATTCAATGCTATGCATTACAGTTTTGACAGGTGTTTTTGAACGCTCAATTGCGTTCATTATGATTTTTTTTCTAAAAGTCATAATTTAGACTAACAAGAAGCTGGTGCTAGCAATAATTTCAAATTTAAATTGATAATATTCAAAATCTGCTGGCTTCGTCCGATCTCATTTGTCGTGTTTATGATTAGGCAAAGCTGGTTAGCGTTTTTTTATTCATCCGAAAAAAATTTGCATTAAAAGTAAAACTAAAAATTGAATTGAAAGTTTTAAGACAAAATAAGAGAGCTTAAAAAGCTGGAGGTCATTAGTTCTTCATTCCTTTGGTTTGTTATAAGATCTATCAAAAATTAAAAAATATCTATCAAATATCTAAGGCTACAACATTAGGATTAGGTAACGAAGTTCCCGTAAATTGATGGGACTGAAAATTTGTTGGTTCTGTTTTTTGAAAAACTTAACAAAACATGTGTGCTCGGGCGGTTTTTTCTCTAGGCAAACTTTGACTTTATAACTAGCAATTTTTGCAAGACTTTCAAATGCCATCTAGAATGTTTTAGGACAAGAGCTCAAATTCAAAAAGACATATTACCTCTGATGCTTTTTGTAAAGTTATGGAGAATTGAAACCAGCCGGTTTGACAAATTTGTTTTAATCAATGCGCAATCATTTTCTATTAAAGCGTCAGCCGCCTCAGAAAACCCTACAGTTTGATTTTCACCAGCCTTCTAAGTGATTTAACCAGTCATTACTACATGCTAACTATATCACTTCGTAGATTAATAGCGCGTTTGACAAATATTTCAATAGAAAAAAAAAACAATTTTTTTGAAAGCTCATCAGTTTTGTAAATCCAATTTTTCTATTGACGTCAAAGAGTAGGTTACATATATTAGTGTTACAGGTGTTCTTGCTGTAGAAGCATTTTTGCAAAAAAAAAACAAGGATTTTGAATTAACGGGCTGACGTTAACTTTTTTGGAAGCTGATGCGCTGTACTTACACTCTATGCCGCTCTTAAAATACAAACAACAGAGCTGAAAAAATAGCTTGGTCCGGCATCTGAAAATGGTCGTATGTGTTTTGACGAAAAATGCATCAAAAGTTTTTGGTAGCATATACTAGAATGTTGGACAAATTTTACACACAATATAACTGCTATTGAGAATCCTCTGCATGGAGTTTAGCTGTGATTTCTTCCGAGATATTTGCTGAAACCATTTTTTTGTTGACTTTTGTTCTTTTTTATTCCAATCATCAGTGCAAAACTGTTGTCAATTGTTAACCAATTTTGGATACCGGACCATGCAACTCTTTCATTTCTGTAATTGCTATTTGTGGTGGCATAAATTGTAACTCAAGTCCTTTTTTGTTTGCGAGGATGTTTTCACAGCAAGAACACATATAAAACAAGTTATGATATTCTGGCTTACTTTTACCATCGGAACAAGATCTCCCAATTTCTGGCCCAGCTTAGTGATTTATAATAGTTTCATCTAGTTTTTATCAAAACTTGAAAAAAAGCAGAGAAAACCACAAAAACGACGAGAACACTCGGTTTTTTCTTTTTAAAACCAAAAATTGCAATTTCTACGTCCAGTGACTCTATAAGCAGAAGAGCTTAGCAGTAAAGACTGATTTACGCGCTCAGTTTATCTTGTGGCAAATGTAAGCGCAGTAAAGCTGAAGAACCGGCGGCCGCTTTTGCAAGTTCCACGTTTCTCACATGTTAAATTTTTTAATTCAACTAAGAAACGAGTCCTCTAAAAATAACCTAGTCCTCGGAAAAAAATGGCTACGCTCTCTACAATGACGTTCCATTAACTCCAAGTCTCACAAATTTCAAATTTTTAACTGTATCATCACTAGTATTTTGTAAAAGTTGAACTTTTGCGTTGTAAAAGTTGAGTTTATAAATCAGGGTTCGGTTTAAAAAACTTCAGGTCAGGGTTGCTGCTAATGACTGTTTATGTGTTATCGAAATCCCAAATAATTCAAAAAACAGCGTTACGACATAATGAAATGCTTTGAAAAGCAGCAATGTTGGAACAATAATTGGTTCAATAACCAAATGTTGCTCTGACAACTCTTGATAAGCTCTCATTTGGATCATTTATTTGAAAGCTCGGAACATCATGTTTACTGATATAATATTTATATTTCCTCGCAAAGAGTAAAAACAAATAAGTGGTTATAATGATGAACTTCCAACGTGCTGCTATACTCACAGCCAGTAAGTGGTATTTTTATAACTTTGTTTTATGGCCGATCTTTTTGTGCCGACTTTCGTAACGTTTTTTTGTAAAGTTATGGGGGTTTGAAGATGGCGATTGTGGCCAATTTGGGAAAATTAAAGCGCGATGTAATTCTCGCTATTAACACTTACGCGGAGATCTAATCCGGCTTAGAAATAGTTCCAAATGGGTTCAAAGAAGCTTATATGCCATAATTGATTTGTTAATAGGAGCAAAATTAAATAATAAATAAGCTGTGTGGTGGACGACTCTCAAAAGATTTTTTAAAAAAATTTAGTTTTATTTCAATACATTCAATTTTTTCATGCTATTGCTGCTCCATATTTCTTAAAAGACAGTCGAAACATTCAGGGCTTCGCCTTGATACGAGCAGTCTTGTTAAGTACTTTATTGTTCTGACGTTCGATACGAAAGTAACGGAATATTTGTGCTCGGGGTGGGTTTTTTTTTCAGACAAGTGTCGACGTTTTAACTAGCCATTTTTGACGGAATTTTTTTATATCATTCGAAAGCTATCATTCTCCTGAGCTTAAACTTGAAAAGATATTTCACCTGTGATTATTTTTTGTAAAAATATGGTGGTTTATAAGTTTCCATTTTGACCAATTTGGGACAATTAACGCGCGATATATTTCGCGCTATTAGCGCGTGAGCGAATATTTAATCCGTCTTAGAAATTGTTCCAAATTGGTTAAAAGAAGCTTATTTGCCATAATTGATTTCCTAAATGGCGTTTTGGTAGATGATTTTTTATTTTATTTTATTACAATTATTTTTTCTATGGTATTACTGCTCCATAGACCTTAAAAGACAGTCGGAACATTCAGTCGGAACTTTCAGTTATCCTAAAATTCAAGCTTTCATGTGAAATATCTTTTCGAATTTGTGCTCCAAGTTATGGAGAATTGAAACCAGCCGGTTTGACAAATTTGTTTTAATCAATGCGCAATCATTTTCTATTAAAGCGTCAGCCGCCTCAGAAAACCCTACAGTTTGATTTTCACCAGCCTTCTAAGTGATTTAACCAGTCATTACTACATGCTAACTATATCACTTCGTAGATTAATAGCGCGTTTGACAAATATTTCAATAGAAAAAAAAAACAATTTTTTTGAAAGCTCATCAGTTTTGTAAATCCAATTTTTCTATTGACGTCAAAGAGTAGGTTACATATATTAGTGTTACAGGTGTTCTTGCTGTAGAAGCATTTTTGCAAAAAAAAAACAAGGATTTTGAATTAACGGGCTGACGTTAACTTTTTTGGAAGCTGATGCGCTGTACTTACACTCTATGCCGCTCTTAAAATACAAACAACAGAGCTGAAAAAATAGCTTGGTCCGGCATCTGAAAATGGTCGTATGTGTTTTGACGAAAAATGCATCAAAAGTTTTTGGTAGCATATACTAGAATGTTGGACAAATTTTACACACAATATAACTGCTATTGAGAATCCTCTGCATGGAGTTTAGCTGTGATTTCTTCCGAGATATTTGCTGAAACCATTTTTTTGTTGACTTTTGTTCTTTTTTATTCCAATCATCAGTGCAAAACTGTTGTCAATTGTTAACCAATTTTGGATACCGGACCATGCAACTCTTTCATTTCTGTAATTGCTATTTGTGGTGGCATAAATTGTAACTCAAGTCCTTTTTTGTTTGCGAGGATGTTTTCACAGCAAGAACACATATAAAACAAGTTATGATATTCTGGCTTACTTTTACCATCGGAACAAGATCTCCCAATTTCTGGCCCAGCTTAGTGATTTATAATAGTTTCATCTAGTTTTTATCAAAACTTGAAAAAAAGCAGAGAAAACCACAAAAACGACGAGAACACTCGGTTTTTTCTTTTTAAAACCAAAAATTGCAATTTCTACGTCCAGTGACTCTATAAGCAGAAGAGCTTAGCAGTAAAGACTGATTTACGCGCTCAGTTTATCTTGTGGCAAATGTAAGCGCAGTAAAGCTGAAGAACCGGCGGCCGCTTTTGCAAGTTCCACGTTTCTCACATGTTAAATTTTTTAATTCAACTAAGAAACGAGTCCTCTAAAAATAACCTAGTCCTCGGAAAAAAATGGCTACGCTCTCTACAATGACGTTCCATTAACTCCAAGTCTCACAAATTTCAAATTTTTAACTGTATCATCACTAGTATTTTGTAAAAGTTGAACTTTTGCGTTGTAAAAGTTGAGTTTATAAATCAGGGTTCGGTTTAAAAAACTTCAGGTCAGGGTTGCTGCTAATGACTGTTTATGTGTTATCGAAATCCCAAATAATTCAAAAAACAGCGTTACGACATAATGAAATGCTTTGAAAAGCAGCAATGTTGGAACAATAATTGGTTCAATAACCAAATGTTGCTCTGACAACTCTTGATAAGCTCTCATTTGGATCATTTATTTGAAAGCTCGGAACATCATGTTTACTGATATAATATTTATATTTCCTCGCAAAGAGTAAAAACAAATAAGTGGTTATAATGATGAACTTCCAACGTGCTGCTATACTCACAGCCAGTAAGTGGTATTTTTATAACTTTGTTTTATGGCCGATCTTTTTGTGCCGACTTTCGTAACGTTTTTTTGTAAAGTTATGGGGGTTTGAAGATGGCGATTGTGGCCAATTTGGGAAAATTAAAGCGCGATGTAATTCTCGCTATTAACACTTACGCGGAGATCTAATCCGGCTTAGAAATAGTTCCAAATGGGTTCAAAGAAGCTTATATGCCATAATTGATTTGTTAATAGGAGCAAAATTAAATAATAAATAAGCTGTGTGGTGGACGACTCTCAAAAGATTTTTTAAAAAAATTTAGTTTTATTTCAATACATTCAATTTTTTCATGCTATTGCTGCTCCATATTTCTTAAAAGACAGTCGAAACATTCAGGGCTTCGCCTTGATACGAGCAGTCTTGTTAAGTACTTTATTGTTCTGACGTTCGATACGAAAGTAACGGAATATTTGTGCTCGGGGTGGGTTTTTTTTTCAGACAAGTGTCGACGTTTTAACTAGCCATTTTTGACGGAATTTTTTTATATCATTCGAAAGCTATCATTCTCCTGAGCTTAAACTTGAAAAGATATTTCACCTGTGATTATTTTTTGTAAAAATATGGTGGTTTATAAGTTTCCATTTTGACCAATTTGGGACAATTAACGCGCGATATATTTCGCGCTATTAGCGCGTGAGCGAATATTTAATCCGTCTTAGAAATTGTTCCAAATTGGTTAAAAGAAGCTTATTTGCCATAATTGATTTCCTAAATGGCGTTTTGGTAGATGATTTTTTATTTTATTTTATTACAATTATTTTTTCTATGGTATTACTGCTCCATAGACCTTAAAAGACAGTCGGAACATTCAGTCGGAACTTTCAGTTATCCTAAAATTCAAGCTTTCATGTGAAATATCTTTTCGAATTTGTGCTCAAATCATTGATATCTTAATGGTTCAATTTTTTTCGGTCAAACTGGTCATTTGCAAAATGTTCTGTCGAAATGACGAAATTGTTTTGAACAAAAGTCCACCCCAAACATATCTACTCCGTCATCAAAAACGGCAAAAAAAATCAAATCTGATTTTAACAATAAGGTACATGTGTATTTTGCTAGCGAAATAAGTTCACCTGTGTTATATCTACATTACCAAGTTCTTCCCCTCTCTCCTTGGATGAAACAAAATTTGTCAAAAGTTTCAGCCTTTTTGTCCTGTGAGGTATATTGCTCTTTATTCACGCCTAATGAGTACTTAACAACTGAAGTCACCGAAGGTTGGGAGTCGCTAGTGTTCAGAATTTCAAATTCAATCAGTCTACGGGGATCTGCATGTGCAAGATTCAGGTGAAACATCTAGCATCAAAACCGTTCGGATATGCCTCCCGTTCCCGAAAAACTGGTTTGAGAGTAGTTTGTTCTTTAAAAAATATCACAGCAATGTCTTCACACTTTAATTGCTTCTCGATGTAGATATCTCTCTTTCTCTCTCTCAAAAGTTTAGTTTCAAAAAAAAACTTTATTAAAAAAAAACAACTTTTGATCCTATTTGATGATTTTTTGCCTCATTTTTTTCAATAAGTAAATTGATGCCATGTTTTAAAAAGAATGATCTGTAAATCATCTGCTTTTCAGTCAATGGTACTGTCTGGATGCATACCATACTCCAGAACCACAGGCGTATGGAGGCCCACCCATACCAGATATATCTAACCGATCTCGCCTTCTGGATCCACATGCGGCCACGGCTTGGTTCGAACTGTTGATACGGGAAAAATGGGTGGATATCAACATGGTCAACTTTATGAATCCACGTAATTGTTTAACGGATTTCGCCTGTGTTGACAAACACCCTGATTAATCGTTCTAAAATTTTCATCATTGTCTTAGTTTTCAAAACTGACGAAATGCGTCTGAGCTTACTACCGTCTCAAATTTAAACACAAAGTGCCCTTTTTACGTACCTAACCGTACCTAAACGTACCTAGCCGATACTCAAACTCGGAATTGCTCCAACCAAGCTCTTTTCAAAAGCAGCCAGTCGTTATATACAAATCAATCAACGAAAAAAATCAAGAAAGCCAAATCAAGGTTCTCCATTCCTAGTCCAATATAAATTTTATTATGCACAGCTATCGCATCCAATGTCACTTGTCAGTAGCTATGAACATAAAGCCGAAAATACAGCAGAAAAAGTCATTTATTCTGGAAACTTAGTATTGATAACATTATTGTTCCGGTTTCGTAACGAAAGTAACGGAATAGTTGTGCTCGGGGTGGTTTTTTTTCTTCAGACAAATTTCGACTTTTTATACAGCCATTTTTGACGACATTTTTTAAAATCACTCTTAGGCTAATGTTATCCTGAGCTTAAATTTGGAAAGTTATTTCACCTGTGATCATTTTTTGGGCGGTTTAAAATTTGCCATTTTGGCCAATTTGGGACAATTAACGCGCGATATATTTCGCGCTGGTAACGCGTAAGCGGAAACTTAATCCGTTTTAGAAACCGTTCCAAATTGATTGAAAGAAGCTTGTTTGCCATAATTGATTTAATGCAATAAGCAAAATCTATTCTTTAGTACTTTATATGGCGTATGGGGTGATGATTTCTTGAAAAATTTTCAAATTTTTTAGATTTTTTTTTTTCAATTTTTTTTTATTAAATTTACTTTTTCATGTACTGCTCCATAAACCTTAAAAGGCATTCGGAACATTCAGGGCTTCACCTTGATACGAGCAGTCTTGTTCCGTTTGATTTGCAGTTCAGTTCAATCGAAGTCTGTTTTCTTGAGTAGTCTTTTCTTTCATATTAAGGCCAAAACTAGGCTGTATCTCATACAGCTGACCAAAGTTAACTCATGCTACTCATTAATTACTCATAATTTGCCCTAGTCTTTGTGGAATGCGAATACTACAAGACTTCTTGGGGGAAAAATCTTGCTAAGAAACCATGGAAATACATTCTTGCTATCATTCCTGCTGATTGTTAAGACTTTCGATGAAAAAGTAACGGAATATGTGTGCTCAGGCTGTTTTTTTTTTGTTCAGACAAATTTCGACTTTTTATTTAGCCATTTTCGACAAAATTTTTTGATATCATTGAAAAGCTATTGGTATCCTGAGTTAAAATTAGAAAAAATGTTTTACCTGTGACGATTTTTCGTAAAGTTATGGGGTTTAAAGATTGCCATTTTGGCCAACTGTGGACAATTAACGCGCTATATATTTCGCGCTATTAACGCGTAAGCGGGGAGTTAATCCGTCTTAGAAATTGTTCCAAATGGTTGAATGAAACATATTTGCCATAATTGATTTGTTACAAGGAGCGAAATCTATCCTTTTGTACTTTATATGGTGTGTGAGAGAATAATTTTCAACAAAAATTTCAAATTTTAGAAGAAAAAAATTCATTTTGTTTTAATTTATTTAAATTTTCAAAGTTATTGATGCTCCAAAAACCTAAAAGGCATTCGGAACATTCAGGGCTTCGCCCTGATATGAGCAGTCTTGTTCCGTTTGACTTGCAGTTGAGTTCAATCGAAGTGTGTTTTCTTGTGTTTTCTTTTATAATGATAGGCCAAAACTAGGCTTTAGCTCATACAGCCGACCAAAATAACTCATGGTACTCGTTAATTACACATAATTTGACCTAGCTCTTGTGGAATGCGAATACTACAAAATTTCTGTGAGAAATCTTGCGTCGTCTTGCGTAGAAAAATAAAGTAAATTTTCCAGCAAAGGGAATACATCTTGCTAAGAAACCATGGAAAAACATTCTCGCTATCATTCCTGCTAATTGTTAAAACTTTCGATACGAAAGTAACCGAATATTTGGGCCCGGGCTGCTTTTTTTTCTTCAGACAAATTTCCACTTTTGATTTAGCCATTTTTGACGAAATTTTTCAATATTATTCGAAAGCTATTGTTATCCTGAGCTAAAACTTGAAAAAAAATGTTTCCCCTGTGATCGTTTTTTGTAGAGTTATGGGGATTTAAGTATTGCCATTTCGGCAAAATTGGGACAATTAAAGCTCTATATATTTCGCGCTATTAAAGCGTAAGCGGGGAGTTAATCCGTCTTAGAAATTGTTCCAAATGGTTGAATGAAACATATTTGCCATAATTGATTTGTTACAAGGACCCAAATCTATCCTTTTGTACTTTATATGGCGTGTGAGAGAATAATTTTCAACAAAAATTTCAAATTTTAGAAGAAAAAAATTCATTTTGTTTTAATTTATTTAAATTTTCAAAGTTATTGATGCTCCAAAAACCTAAAAGGCATTCGGAACATTCAGGGCTTCGCCCTGATATGAGCAGTCTTGTTCCGTTTGACTTGCAGTTCAGTTCAATCGAAGTGTGTTTTCTTGTGTATTCTTTTCTTTCATAATGATAGGCCAAAACTAGGCTTTAGCTCATACAGCCGACCAAAATAACTCATGGTACTCGTTAATTACACATAATTTGCCCTAGCTCTTGTGGAATGCGAATACTACAAAATTTCTGTGAGAAATCTTGCGTCGTCTTGCGTAGAAAAATAAAGTGAATTTTCCAGCAAAGGGAATACATCTTGCTAAGAAACCATGGAAATACATTCTCGCTATCATTCCTGCTAATTGTTAAAACTTTCGATACGAAAGTAACCGAATATTTGGGCCCGGGCTGCTTTTTTTTCTTCAGACAAATTTCCACTTTTGATTTAGCCATTTTTGACGAAATTTTTCCATATTATTCGAAAGCTATTGTTATCCTGAGCTAAAATTTGATAAAAATTTATTTCCCCTGTGATCGTTTTTTGTAGAGTTATGGGGATTTAAATATTGCCATTTCGGCCAATTTGGGACAATTAAAGCTCTATATATTTCGCGCTATTAACGCGTGAGCGGAGAGTTAATCCGTCTTAGAAATTGTTCCAAGTTGATTGAAAGAAGTATATTTGCCATAATTGATTTGTTACAAGGAGCAAAATCTATCCTTTTGGACTTTATTTGGCGTGTGGAGGGATAATTTTTATAAAAAATTTCAAATTTTACAAGAAAAAAAATTTCATTTTGTTTTATTTTAGTTAAATTTTTGAAGTTATTACTGCTCCAAAAACCTTAAAAAGAAGTCGGAACATTCAGGGCTTCGCCTTGATACGAGCAGTCTTCTTCGCTTTTGTTCCTGATTTTGCGTTAATGTTTTCTTTGGTATACATTTTTGTCATGTTTAGTGCCTTAATATCCGAGAGGCAAAGAAAGTGAGGAAAACATCAGTTTGGATGTTTTTGGGTATTTCTAGGAACAATCTCTCATTTGAAAGCGTAAGATAGTTATTGAGCTCCCTCTTCACATTACAACATGGGCATGTCTAAAATATTTCACCAGAAACTTTGTAAAAAGAATAGCCCACGTCTGTTTGTCTATCAGACTGTATTGTTTTAAGTGAATCAATTATAGTAAACTTTGTTGCAAAAACCGTATCGCAATGACAATTCCCCTAGAAAACTGAATAAATCGTATGTTGGCCCCTTTTTTGTTGATAAATTTTCTTAAGTAAAAAGCTAAAATGATGAACCAGAAGAGGCGAAGTCGATTGGTTGATCTGTTTTTTTTGGACAAATGTGTACACATTGGCTAACAAGGAGAAAAAACATATTGAAGCTTTTTATTAATACCAGCAACTTTTTGAACAACATTGACTTTTGTAGATTTGAATCATTTTTGGCAAGTTTGAATCAGAGTTTTTAAATATTTTTTATATTATTTTCTCATACTGTCGGGAGTTTTTTTTTGTTTAAAAATCCCAGTAAAAAAATCTTATTCCAGGTGCGCTAAATAAAAATTATTGATCAACTTTGTAAGTTTGAAATTTTATTAATTTTTTCCTAAATCCATGAGGATTTTAAAAATTACCACCAGATTATTGAAAAAAATTTAGATGCCATATTAAATCGATAGTGCTGAAAAAAGCAGGGTGTTAATTTACGGGTAACCAGTTAATATTTTCCCTATAAGGCAGTTGAGAAGGGAGTAATGATGTTAAATTGAGTGCTAGTTCACGAAAATGGTGTATCAGGAAACCAAAAACTGATGAACGAGATAACTAAACCCGATTTCGAATTTCAATTTTTCATCACACGAATAGCATGCATGAGATAGTTTCAATTTTTGTTCCAACCGATTTAATTTTCTGAAGGTTTCAATTTTTCGTTGTTTGGGTAGTTCAGTCAAGTTTAATTTACAAATGTTCATAGTGTAACAAAGCGACTAGACGTTTTTCAAAGTTCAATCGCCTGAGCAGCTTGATCAAAATAACTTTGAATTTTGTGATCCGTTACAAGCTGTCAAAAAAATTCAAAACATTTATGTTATTGCTTATGTAGCTTGCCAAGGCTAATTTGAACTTCGATTCAAGCTATCAATTCCGTTGAAAATTTTCCACGAAATAAAGGATTTCTTATTTTGCTCGAGATAATTTTTTTTGTAGCAATCCGACAAAAATGTAAAATTTTGTCTAAAACTAAGCTTAAGCAGCTTGCCTGGAAGATTTTTAAAATTCACGAACTATTTCAAGCTATCATAACAATGTAAATGATTTCTGATTTTTTCTTCAGCTATGAAATTTGTCAAATATGACTATAAATTTCTCAAACATTTCATGCTAGCAAAGTAACTAATTTGAAATAGTTCAAAACTTTGTGGAATTTACCTCAAGCCAGCTATTCAAGCGATTAGTCTTTCATTTATTCCAAAAGGCGTTCAAACTTGAATCGTTTAATGAGAACTTAAAATGTATCATTTGTTTTAAGCTATCATATAGTTGTTAGAGTTGTTGAAATTTGTTTTATAGCTTGCTTGAGAAAATTCGAGTTTAAAATTTTCATTAACCGATTCAAGTTTGAACGCTTTTAGAAATAATTGAAAGATTAATAGCTTGAGTAGCTGGCTTGAGGTAAATGCAACATTTGCCATTTGCAAACAGGTTAAGGTTATCAAAACAACTTGATACTCTTTTAAATCTTTCGAGTAGCCTCTTAATTTAAGGTGATTTTTTCCAACTTGTTCAGGTTGTCATTTCAACCTAAAAAAACTACAAAGTTTGAATTACAGGTTTATCATAAGTTAACATTTTTGTCAAACTGATTAAATTATCAAATTAATCCAAAAATGTCAAAATTTTGTATCTTGAATAGTTTTTCTAACATCTGTTTAAATTATTGCAAACCAATCCTTGCTATTAAAACGAATTGAAGTTTGACTTGCAGTTCAGTTCAATCGAAGTGTGTTTTCTTGTGTATTCTTTTCTTTCATAATGATAGGCCAAAACTAGGCTTTAGCTCATACAGCCGACCAAAATAACTCATGGTACTCGTTAATTACACATAATTTGACCTAGCTCTTGTGGAATGCGAATACTACAAAATTTCTGTGAGAAATCTTGCGTCGTCTTGCGTAGAAAAATAAAGTGAATTTTCCAGCAAAGGGAATACATCTTGCTAAGAAACCATGGAAATACAATCTCGCTATCATTCCTGCTAATTGTTAAAACTTTCGATACGAAAGTAACCGAATATTTGGGCCCGGGCTGCTTTTTTTTCTTCAGACAAATTTCCACTTTTGATTTAGCCATTTTTGACGAAATTTTTCAATATTATTCGAAAGCTATTGTTATCCTGAGCTAAAATTTGAAAAAAAATATTTCCCCTGTGATCGTTTTTTGTAGAGTTATGGGGATTTAAATATTGCCATTTCGGCCAATTTGGGACAATTAAAGCTCTATATATTTCGCGCTATTAACGCGTAAGCGGGGAGTTAATCCGTCTTAGAAATTGTTCCAAATGGTTGAATGAAACATATTTGCCATAATTGATTTGTTACAAGGAGTCAAATCTATCCTTTTGTACTTTATATGGCGTGTGAGAGAATACTTTTCAACAAAAATTTCAAATTTTAGAAGAAAAAAATTCATTTTGTTTTAATTTATTTAAATTTTCAAAGTTATTGATGCTCCAAAAACCTCAAAGGCATTCGGAACATTCAGGGCTTCGCCCTGATATGAGCAGTCTTGTTCCGTTTGACTTGCAGTTCATTCAATCGAAGTGTGTTTTCTTGTGTATTCTTTTCTTTCATAATGATAGGCCAAAACTAGGCTTTAGCTCATACAGCCGACCAAAATAACTCATGGTACTCGTTAATTACACATAATTTGCCCTAGCTCTTGTGGAATGCGAATACTACAAAATTTCTGTGAGAAATCTTGCGTCGTCTTGCGTAGAAAAATAAAGTGAATTTTCCAGCAAAGGGAATACATCTTGCTAAGAAACCATGTATATACATTCTCGCTATCATTCCTGCTAATTGTTAAAACTTTCGATACGAAAGTAACCGAATATTTGGGCCCGGGCTGCTTTTTTTTCTTCAGACAAATTTCCACTTTCGATTTAGCCATTTTTGACGAAATTTTTCAATATTATTCGAAAGCTATTGTTATCCTGAGCTAAAATTTGATAAAAAATATTTCCCCTGTGATCGTTTTTTGTAGAGTTATGGGGATTTAAATATTGCCATTTTGGCCAATTTGGGACAATTAAAGCTCTATATATTTCGCGCTATTAACGCGTGAGCGGAGAGTTAATCCGTCTTAGAAATTGTTCCAAGTTGATTGAAAGAAGTATATTTGCCATAATTGATTTGTTACAAGGAGCAAAATCTATCCTTTTGGACTTTATTTGGCGTGTGGAGGGATAATTTTTATAAAAAATTTCAAATTTTACAAGAAAAAAAATTTCATTTTGTTTTATTTTAGTTAAATTTTTGAAGTTATTACTGCTCCAAAAACCTTAAAAAGAAGTCGGAACATTCAGGGCTTCGCCTTGATACGAGCAGTCTTCTTCGCTTTTGTTCCTGATTTTGCGTTAATGTTTTCTTTGGTATACATTTTTGTCATGTTTAGTGCCTTAATATCCGAGAGGCAAAGAAAGTGAGGAAAACATCAGTTTGGATGTTTTTGGGTATTTCTAGGAACAATCTCTCATTTGAAAGCGTAAGATAGTTATTGAGCTCCCTCTTCACATTACAACATGGGCATGTCTAAAATATTTCACCAGAAACTTTGTAAAAAGAATAGCCCACGTCTGTTTGTCTATCAGACTGTATTGTTTTAAGTGAATCAATTATAGTAAACTTTGTTGCAAAAACCGTATCGCAATGACAATTCTCCCTAGAAAACTGAATAAATCGTATGTTGGCCCCTTTTTTGTTGATAAATTTTCTTAAGTAAAAAGCTAAAATGATGAACCAGAAGAGGCGAAGTCGATTGGTTGATCTGTTTTTTTTTTGGACAAATGTGTACACATTGGCTAACAAGGAGAAAAAACATATTGAAGCTTTTTATTAATACCTCAAACTAGGTTATGAAAATTTAAAATTGCCATTTTTTTGACAATGCCTCGACCTCAAGTTCCAAAATTTGGCCTTTTTGCATTTTTTAAATGACTAAATGGTGCCGAGAACTAAAATATGCTTCGAATAGCTAGTTTTCTTCCCTCATGCCAATGTTTTAATGTTTTAATGTTTTAATTGTATTTACTTCCAGCATGAATCTTTATTCTAGGTGACTGCTGCTCTCACCAGGTCAAAAAGTACTTGCTATTCGGACTCCTACATAAGATGATGAACCCTGACACATACATGGCCAAGCTGACAGACTACAAAAGTGAAAGCAAACCACTCAACTTTTTAATGGTAAGATCCAAAAGTTTCATAAGTTCAACAAAATCAGCCTACTAAGCATTCGAAACTTCCAATATAATCATGATCTCGTTTCAGTATTAGAACAACCCTACGAAAAAATGAAAATAGCTTTTAAGACTTTTCTGATGTTTTATCAGAAAAATTGTTCAGCAACTTTTTGAACAACATTGACTTTTGTAGATTTGAATCATTTTTGGCAAGTTTGAATCAGAGTTTTTAAATATTTTTTATATTATTTTCTCATACTGTCGGGAGTTTTTTTTGTTTAAAAATCCCAGTAAAAAAATCTTATTCCAGGTGCGATAAATAAAAATTATTGATCAACTTTGTAAGTTTGAAATTTTATTAATTTTTTCCTAAATCTATGAGGATTTTAAAAATTACCACCAGATTATTGAAAAAAATTTAGATGCCATATTAAATCGATAGTGCTGAAAAAAGCAGGGTGTTAATTTACGGTTAACCAGTTAATATTTTCCCTATAAGGCAGTTGAGAAGGGAGTAATGATGTTAAATTGAGTGCTAGTTCACGAAAATGGTGTATCAGGAAACCAAAAACTGATGAACGAGATAACTAAACCCGATTTCGAATTTCAATTTTTCATCACACGAATAGCATGCATGAGATAGTTTCAATTTTTGTTCCAACCGATTTAATTTTCTGAAGGTTTCAATTTTTCGTTGTTTGGGTAGTTCAGTCAAGTTTAATTTACAAATGTTCATAGTGTAACAAAGCGACTAGACGTTTTTCAAAGTTCAATCGCCTGAGCAGCTTGATCAAAATAACTTTGAATTTTGTGATCCGTTACAAGCTGTCAAAAAAATTCAAAACATTTATGTTATTGCTTATGTAGCTTGCCAAGGCTAATTTGAACTTCGATTCAAGCTATCAATTCCGTTGAAAATTTTCCACGAAATAAAGGATTTCTTATTTTGCTCGAGATAATTTTTTTTGTAGCAATCCGACAAAAAATGTAAAATTTTGTCTAAAACTAAGCTTAAGCAGCTTGCCTGGAAGATTTTTAAAATTTACGAACTATTTCAAGCTATCATAACAATGTAAATGACTTCTGATTTTTTCTTCAGCTAGGCAATTTGTCAAATATGACTATAAATTTCTCAAACATTTCATGCTAGCAAAGTAACTAATTTGAAATAGTTCAAAACTTTGTGGAATTTACCTCAAGCCAGCTATTCAAGCGATTAGTCTTTCATTTATTCCAAAAGGCGTTCAAACTTGAATCGTTTAATGAGAACTTAAAATGTATCATTTGTGTTAAGCTATCATATAGTTGTTAGAGTTGTTGAAATTTGTTTTATAGCTTGCTTGAGAAAATTCGAGTTTAAAATTTTCATTAACCGATTCAAGTTTGAACGCTTTTAGAAATAATTGAAAGATTAATAGCTTGAGTAGCTGGCTTGAGGTAAATGCAACATTTGCCATTTGCAAACAGGTTAAGGTTATCAAAACAACTTGATACTCTTTTAAATCTTTCGAGTAGCCTCTTAATTTAAGGTGATTTTTTCCAACTTGTTCAGGTTGTCATTTCAACCTAAAAAACTACAAAGTTTGAATTACAGGTTTATCATAAGTTAACATTTTTGTCAAAGTGATTAAATTATCAAGTTAATCCAAAAATGTCAAAATTTTGTATCTTGAATAGTTTTTCTAACATCTGTTTAAATTATTGCAAACCAATCCTTGCTATTAAAACGAATTGAAGTCTATCGTGTATTGAAACGAATTTTCTCCTAGCGCTAATAGCTTGCTCGAACCAATTTCAAGCTCTCTAGTTTCAACCATTTCAAGCTCTCACCACCATCACTTGCATCATTTTAAAATATCATCAATTGAATAGATAGACCAAGATAAATTGATTTCAGTTCAGGTGAAACAATTCAAGCAGTCAAACAGCATGATAGGTTTCTTTCATCGCTTGAGATAACACTAAAATTTTGCAAGCCAGCACAAGCTATCAAATCAATTTTAAAATTTTCCAAATGTCGCAGGAAATTTCCAAATTCAAGATGTTGTAGTCTTCAATTTGATGATAAATGAAATTGTTTTCATTTGATAGCCAAAAATTGTCATTTTTGCAAAATAAAATACGAAATTTTTAATTGAATACACTTTTTAAACGTTTTGTGCAAAGTTTCGGGAGATTATGGTCTGTTGTTTTGTTTTAGTTCTGTTTGAAATCCAACCAACCCCTATTGGAGTTCCATGAATAAAAATAGATTATAATTGACTTTCCTTGTCAGTGTCCACAAAAGGGAAAAACAAATCGATTGTAATAAATTAAAAATGAATTATAAAATTACTATTTTTCGAAGGCAACAAAATCATTTTCTCATCCACCATTATCGATTTTTTCCGTTATGAAGACACTGACAATGCAACTTAATTATAATCGATTTTTTTCCACTTTAGTGGGATGCGAATTTCAACGCACATAAAGTTTTTTCTACGTTTTAAATTAAAGTTTTTTACGTTGGTTACTTGTTGTTGTGATTGAGTTCATTATGATAACTTCAATTTCTTGTTAACCTAATCAAGTAGGAAAAACTAATTTGAATTTTTCTATTTCGGTTAATCCACTTGCTTCGAACATCTTTTGTTTTTGCGAACCAATTCAAGCTGCCACGAAAATTGAAATATTTATGAGTTTGATTGAGTACTGTAATTATAGCAGTTTGTCACCATCTTTTTTGCTGCAAAAAATTTGATTTCATCCTTTTCACGGCAAAAAAATAAACAGAAAAAGTTCAAAGTTTTGTTGGTTGAGCAGCTCTACCAATATGATTTATTTTTTCCTTCGATACAATTCAAGCTAACAAATTAGAATAAAATTTTCTGTTACTACTTTGTTAAACCCATTGAAATTAACTACGCCAATTCCGAATGAGAGTTCTTTTGAAAAGGCGGCCTGAATTTTTTTTTTGTGAATCAGTTCACGCTACCAAAACAAGCGGATATTTTATTCAATTGTTTGAGTAGTCTGTTTTAAATAACTTTAATTTTAACTAACAGCTTTCAAGTTTTAAGCCAACTTAAAAACTTAAAGAAAGTCATTGAAAAAGTAGCTTTTTAAAAGATAATTTTGCGATTCTGTCCGAGCTAAAGCAACCACTGAAACTTTCTAGTGGCAGATTTTTCTAATGATAAGTTCTATGCTTTTCTGTCGGCAAAGTAATTCAGAACTTTACCACAAATTTTGATCGTCTGAGCAACTTATTATGGTGAGTTTTGTTTTTGTTTTGCATCTTATTTCAATTTATCAAATACACTGCAATTTCCAACAATGCGTGAGTAGCATGTTTGAAATGAATTACTTTAACTGACTAGAAATTTTTAATGCCGACTAGAATTTTAAATTTTTCATCGTTCGATGAGCTGGCCTAATCCAAGGTTATCGAAACAATTTTAAATGATTCCGTCTTTGCTTGGAAATTTTTCTTAAAATGATTTACTTTATTTAAAATAAACTGAAAAAAAATCATAATTTAATCTGTTCAATATTTGCTAAAGTCAACTTTAATTTTTTGCAAGCCTACTGCTAATATCATAAAAAACATTATCGATTAAATGAGCAGTCTTGTGATGATAACTATCGTTTTGCTGAAAAACTTAAGCTATTCGAAAAACAGTAAAACTTCATTTTTTAACTGCTAGAGAATTTTGGCTTGAACATCTTCATTTTTTGCGAAACAATGATTGTGCTCTACTGACTCGCTCTTGCTTAATCTAAGTTTTAGCAATTCTATTCCAGATGAAAACAGTTTTTCCGATGTTTCATCGATGACCAGTTTTCTAAAGGAAATACTTTTAAGAAACAAGTTATGCTGACAAAATAACCTAACGCATTTCAACCATCGCTTGTTTAGAGTAACTTCTTTTTTAGATAGTACTGGATTGCTTAAAATAACTCTATTTATTTTTTCTGTGAAAGATTTTGATCTATCAAAAAAACTTCAGATACTACAAAATTCCATTGCTTGTGTTATTTGTTTAAAACACCTTAATTTTTTCAAGCTTCATCAAAGATTCAATTTTTTTCAATCGGTTCAACAGATGAACTATAATAATTTCAGGACAATATCAATCTCTCACACAGCTACAAACGTGTTTGCTCACAGAAACTTGATGCTAGTCATGTCAAATGTTATCATAGTACGATCACATGCTAGATGTTATTATAGATCATAGTCGATCTGGTTCTAGAAATGAAAAGATGTTTTGTATCGACAGACATAAATTGCTGATTAAATGATTATCAATTGCTTATAAAAAGCTGAACAACCGTCTTAAAAAGCAAAATAGTGTTGGGTAATAAGGTTTCTTTACAAAAACTTAAATAAAAATAAAACAAAGCTTTAGAATCTTACCTCTGTCAATTCTAGAATAGAGAACCTTTCATAACTTTTTTATCAAGAAAATAATTAATAAAAAAAGGAAAAAAGTTGAACTCGAATGTGCGAGTAGCAAAAAAAATTCAGAAGGTTCACGTTTATGTATTTGTTAGCGAAATTTTAGTTACCTGTAGTCTAAAAATTGGTCTTTTCCCTTTTCTTCATACTCTTGATGAAATTGATTTTTGTTAACAATTGAAACTTTAGCATAACAAAAATAGAAAAAAAATAAAATCTCAGGGCAATTATCAGTTTTGCAGCTGACTTACCTGGTGAAAAAATCATATTCTAATGCAAGGATTTCCAAACAACTGGAGTTTTCTTTCCGCATTGTCTGTTTTTCAAGACAAGACAGTAAACCAGTCAACAAATCAGGCGACATACTTGTTTTCTTTATTTGTGTTTTCAGAAAACAAACTGAGTCCAATCTTGAAAGAAGTGATTAAGCCCAACTGATATTTAAAAAACTTTAAGTTAAGCTTTAAGTGCAGAATTTGCAATATTATAACTCAACCCCTTTTAAGAAGGTAATTGTTCGTTGCACAAATTTTCAATCATATCAGTCTATGTCTTTTGATATGTGAAATTTGATTACTTATCAAAAATCTAATCTTTGATATGTAACCAAAATAGCTACGCTTAAATTTTAAACAATAAAATATACTAAAATGAAATGATGATTTTGATTCTTCCTTTAAAAACATGCCCATTTGTTTATTTTCGTTTCATTTTAGCACAAAACTTTCAACCGTATTTCTATTTAATTCCTAGAAATCATTACAACTTTGTTTTAATCATCGTTGCTTTGATGCTTGTGTTAATTGTCATCTTCGAAACTAGATTGAAATCATGTTGCTGGAGTTTTGCTCAATATTTTTCGACAATTGTATAAACAA